CGCCGAGAGCCGACAGGCTGGCCGCGCTGCAGGCCGAGGCCAAGCAGGTATGCCGCCGCTGGGCCGAGTGGGCCTGATTTCAGTTGTGATACCGTCAGCGCAATTACGCCCACCTAGTCCGTCAGGCAGGCTGGTTAAATGCCCGAATTTTTGGCCCACGCGGATCATGTGTGCCGGGCCATCGAATGTGCGATGACGCGCCAGCCAGACCGTCCTGCTGCCCTCTAGCTGACATGGCGAGACGCGCCGCATGCCGCTACGCTTAGAACGCGTCACCGGCTTTACCAATGCTGCCCACTGATCATGCAACCAACGGCGGCTAGGCCGCGGTGATCTCGCGGGCAATCGCTGCCCATATTCCGCCTATCATCTGCTGCGGCGAGACCTTCACCTGGCGTTACTTTTGAAAAAGGAATTTTTTAATCGCTTCGTGCCGTATACACAAGCACGCAGCGATCTAAGGCAGGTCTTTTGCTTCGCGATGAAGACGTACCGCAATGCGGCGCTTTTTGCCTGAGGCCCTCCAGCCGTGTCGTGTGATACGTGGTAACGTGTGACCAGTCGTCCCTCGGAGCCTGAGGCCCTTCAGCCGTGTCGTGTGATACGTGGTAGCGTGTGACCAGTCGTCGCTCGCGGCCTGACGCCCCGGCCGTGCTGCGGTCACCGTCAGGCGGTGCTGGCCGCCGACTCTCGGCAGCAGGCCATGAGCCGCGAGCTGAGCGGGCTTCAGAGCCAGGCCCAGCTGCTCAAGCTCAAGAGCCAGGAGGTGGACGACGTCTCGGAGGGTGGGTGTGCTTGTGAGGTGCGCAAATGCTTCACCCCTTGCAGTGCTCCAGAGCTCCATATGACAATGCTCCATCCCTCATCGTGCTTCAAATGGCGATGCTCCATCTCTCAGTGCTCTGATTGGCGATGCTCCATCCCTCATAGTGTCCCAGTACTCCAGATGGCAACGCTCCATCCCTCCTAGTGCTCCAGAGCTCCAGATGGCAACGCTCCATCCCTCCTAGTGCTCCAGAGCTCCAGATGGCAATGCTCCATCCCTCCTAGCGCTCCGGTGCTCCAGGAGGCAATGCTCCATCCGTTACAGTACTCCAGATGGCAATCCTCCGCCCCTCACAGTGCTCCGATGCTCCAGATGGCGATGCGTACCCGCGACGACGGCCGGCGCGCGCTGGACGAGGCGCACGCGCTGCGGGGTGAGCTGACCAAGCGGCAGCTGCTGCTGGAGCGTCAGCAGTCCAAAGTGAAGGCACAAGAGCAGCTGCTGGCCCAGGTCGGTAGACTGGATATCATCTGGCCGGTCGGGGCGAGGGGGGGGAGGTCTAGGCTGGCGAAGCGGGCTGTCTGTTTCGGTGTGTGGCGAGTGATGTGGTGGGAGTAGTGCATGCTATGGTGCTGCAGCTATGCCAGTAAGCAGCCCTATTTTGGCTATCTGGAAGCATTGCGAATGAGGTTTGAGGCGTGCTGTCTCCTGCCAACGTGTAATTGTTAGCGTTGTGCCCCTGCACTGGCCGTATACCATGTAGAGCCCGTAAAAGACGAGGCGGGGTAATGGACAGAAGACTGGCTCAGCTCGTTTAGTGTGCATTCCTTCGGCCGCATCTTGAGCTGCAAGCTCAGACTTGATTTCCCACCGCATTTCATATATGGACACTGCATATTACGTTGAACCATATCAGTGCCGAACAGAACGCCAGTGTATCAGGTACCAACAAGGGTGCGACCTGGCAGCCCCTCTCTCAATTCACTAAGCTGTCGCACCCAAGTTGCTGCGAACGCCGTGCCCAGGCCGCTGACCACTGCTGCGACTGATGCCCAGGAGCGGATGCGGCTGATCCAGGAGCGCCAGGCGCGACCCTCGCGCGCCCGGCCCGGTCCCGGCCCCGGCCCCGGCCCCGCCTCTGGGGCCGGTCTCAGCGTACCGGTCGGAGGTGCCGAGAGGACGCTGGGAGACGGCGCACCCGGCTCAGAGGTACGACCGCGGGCGGCGATGTTGCGGTCACCGGGGCTGCGACCAGACCAGTGTTCGTGGTGTGCCGCGAACCCGGTCTTGTACGGTTAGTTGCGCGTCTTCTACGAGCGCGTGGTATTCTTCTTTTATTGCTTTTTCGTGGCAGTTTTTATCAGACGCGCCCGCCCGAGTGTGGGACATTTTACGGCATTTACTGCCGTGGTACTCACGTAGCGTGCCTTCTGCTGAACTGACCCCATTCGGGTCATCGGCCAGACCACTGCGTACCTTTACTCCGCACCTGGGAGGGACGGCCGCTTCGTCTCCGCTCGTGTCTCTGAGCGCAGGGGGTTCCTGTGTTGCAGGTTGTGTCGGTGGACCCGACCGTGCTTCTGTGGAAGCTGCGGGCGGACGAAGACCGGGAGTTCCTAGATCGGGAGGCCGCCTTCATCAAACAGCTGACTTCCAGCAGCTGAGACCAGACCTCGAGCAACAGCTGGCACCCGTTTTCAGACTGCCGCTCTCCCGGATGGGGGGACCGCCTGCTTCCATTGTCTCGCCTCTGGTTCTTGATACAAGCCTGCTGTCAACTCGATGCTCCCACCCACCATAGACTAGGAGATGGCCTTCGACCAACAGCACTATTCGGGCGGTGCGTCACAACCGTGCTCGTACCGGCACGCGGCCATCGGCCATTGCTATCGGGCTCCATGACCGTTGTACAGGGCCGCGGATTCTGTGGTCGGTGGGACGTGTGATAGTTTAGTGGGACGGTGATGCGTCAGCATTGGGGCTGCCCCTCCAGCAACTGTTGAGGGCTATCTGACTCTCTCCGCCGGTGTTCCCCGTGCAATGTCTGCATGTGATAGACAAGTACACGAGGATCAGTTTTCATTTGCGGGCCTCTTCCACCCGGCCAACGATCACTGCCACACGAGTGACTGGGTGGAGAAAATTGCATGTGTCGGTGTTCGCTACAAAATAGAGTCTGTGGTTGTGCACCACGTGCCCGGTTCGCGATGCACGACGAAGAAAGGGCCTTGCCGATGGCCCCGGCACTCTTGCGGAACTCGAACCCCGTACCAGACGCGTTAACCACTAGACTACAGACACCCCGGCGGTCCGCTGTACGAGCTAATGTGCCAAACGGGCATACCAGGCAGCTAATTCTCCTTTTAAGTCTACTCCCTGCGCCTCTGGCGGGAAATCGTGACAAGGAGCCGGGGCCGAAGAGGCGCCGGTGGCATCACCTGGCGTACGGACAACCAGATGACGTCACGGACGACCGTGCCCTCCAGTCCATCCGTCGCACCGAGGCAGTCAAAAGCCCTCGTCAATGCCACACAGGCGCTCAGCTATGTATCGCACCACACACCACCACGTGAACCGGCACCAGCGGTCTCTGAGCACACCATCGAAATGCTGCAAATCTGCACCGGTCGCGGCGGTGGCCCCATCGCCCAGCGCACACCCGGTTGGGCGACGCCGCACAGGTCTGACTCATAGCACCAGCTACGCCAAAAGACTATGTGAAATTCGCGCACCTGAGAACAGGGCATACGTGCCATATGCGTCATGGGATTACTCCGGTAAACGAGGTAGTGGCCAACGCTATTTGCCCGCGACAAGCTCCAAAAAACGAGACGGTGCAGCGGCAGTTTCGTGACCACCGCACCCCGCTGTAACGCGCGACTAGCACGCCAAGCATTTGATGCTACGCTTGTCGCACAAACAAGTGCGACGCGGAAGACGCGAGTTTGCAACTCCAGCTATCACGGATAACTCAGGCGCACTGTTGACTCGTCAGTTACATTTCTTTTAACCCCTGGGACGAGCCAAAAACGCATCTTGCCATTCGCAGCAGCAACTGTGAGCTTCTGCCTCGCGGGGACAAGCCGCCCAAGCGGACGTAATACAACTTTCTGCGTCACTCAAACGAGACCTTGGCAGATACTCGTGCACAGAAACCATACAACTTTTCACAGGTCTGCTGGGATAGACCACCACCGCGTATTTAACACGCTTTTCATCCGCCCGGCCCACCCACTAACCATTAACGCAACTAGAAACGGATTTGATTCACATTCGGTCATAATAAATGGGCTCAAAGACACTAGTCTCCACCACGAAGGCAAGAGTGTCGCTACTATCGGTAGCGCACCAGTGTGTAACGGCGACGGCCGCACGTCCCCCTGTTACTCGCCACGCCGTCGGATGAGACCAGACACCACATCGCCATCGTATTCCATGGACGTTAGCTGTGCGCGGCAGCACCTGCGCCAGGCCCTACTGGTACTGCTTAATGAACTTCTGGTGGAACTCCTGCATGCGGGCTAGCATCTCCTTCAGCAGAGGAGTCTGCGGGAGGATGGTGGTCCTGCAAACGATAGAGGACTGAATTCACTGGCCAGTAGGGACCGCGACCAGCAGGGGCACTCCGACCCGCGGCGGACACTGGGCAGTGCCACCACTCACGGTTAGCCGGCTGGCTGGTGTTCCCCAGCGGCCACGCTGCTTTCAAAGCCTTTCGCTAAAGTAGCAAAACTAATGCAATATGACTCATCCCCCTCCGCGAACGGACATGCACGTAGCACGCTAAGGGCAGTCAATGATCGTGCAAATGGACCTTCGGCACCTATAAAAGATATTCCAAAGTCAACCCTTATGCATTCTCCGCCCCATACTTGCCTCGCGAACTCAGCGGCCCTCGCCAAGCCTCCTAAATGAGCTCAAGTATGTACAACTGTCGGTCTGTTTGATCCCACTAGCGCCCCGGCGATGGGTCCTGTCGCCCGGCCGACGTTCTCGCGCCCGTCAGCATAAACCAGCGTCACTCGTCACTAGAGTGGCGGGTGCCGGGCCGCTGTCTAAAGCCGAACTCGGGCACCACCTCCTCGCCAAACCCACCCTCACCTGAAGCGGTAGGCGCCGGGCCGCTGTCTAAAGCCAGACTCGGGCACCACCTCCTCGTCGCCCACCCTCACCTGAAGTGGTAGGTGCCCGGCCGCTGCCCAAAGCCAGAGCCAGGCACCACGCAGATGCCCGTGTTCTCTAGCAGTTGGAAAGTAGTAAGAACAGTCCGTCCGGCGCCTGGCCAGCCTCGCCCTTCGCCGCCTCCACCGCCCCTTCTCGGGCAGCTCCAGCTGCCGGCCAAGGACGGGCTCGTCATGCAGTCGAGTTCAAACACGGACAGGACAACAGCGATACCGGCAGTGTGGGCATTACAGGGTACCCTTTAGGTGCCAAAATCAGCCACAAAAACGTCGTAACGCACACCTCCCTGAACGCCCGGGTCTTAAACTTCTTTTAAAAATTGATTCGCTGCACCATGTCAAAGAGAACTGAAGCTCAACACACATCTCAACATTTTCCGGCGGTCTATTCCAGCCATCCAGTCGCCTCGGAACGCACACACACACACATACGTGCTCGGGACAGGTTCGCACAGCCCAGCGGGCACCGTTGACGGCTCACCTGCGGGAAGGCGTACATGGCGCCCTGCACCTGATTGCAGGTGAAGCCCTCCATGCGCTGTTGAAGGTGTCGGCGATGAGGGTGCCCGCTCCTTCAGGGAGCTGAGTACGTGCGGCGCTCCTTGTCGTAGAGCGCGTAGCTGGGCTCGCCCGGCCGCGCGGGTATCACCACACAGTCACATCACCGCCTGCCAAACACACCGGCAGTGGGCTGCTGTTCTGAGAACGCGCGGCGGACACAATAGTTCGCCGCGGGCGGGAATGCGCTAAAGCAGTGGCACTTTTGAGCTCAACAAATGTCGAAATGTGGTCATATTCATAAAACAAGGCAGTCGTGAAACCAGAACACTTACACCGCCTAATCACGACCTCGATAAATACTGCACAAAACGGGAGCGCGTTTTACGACTGGCACCACCAGGGTGCACCGCCACCAGTCCCGCGGAGACGCCCGACATGCTGGCGCCAGCCGACACAGTCGGCGACCAACGTGTTACTCACCTGGCCGTGGACCGTGGAGCACAGCTTGGCGGAAATCATCTTGAACAGCATGGCCTTGACTTTGGGATCGAAGTTGAGCAGCTCACAGTAGCCTCCGCGCAGGCCGCACTCGCCATGTAGCCTGCCGCACACAGTCCCGTTTGAGTGTTGACGTAACGGGAGAAACGCCTTCCGTGTCCTTATAAATCGGCAGGGAACATAAACGGCCGCTTGCTGGGATAGCACAGCCATCGTGAACCAGACACACCATCTGGGAAACACCCAGGAAACTGGTCAGCGATGGCGGCGGCTCGCACACTCGCGCGCAGTCGGCATGGTTTTTTGAGAGCGTTCTCGAAAGATAGAGCAATAACCCTGATCGTCAACCGCCTGTACCAGTCATGACGCGGCAATCGGGGCACCGAACAGACGGGAAACCAGGTGCGTCACGACTGAACGCGGGAGGACCAGAGATGGCCGCCCACTTGGCACCACTGGCCTTTGGAGCAGGACATGAAGGAAGCCAGCTCCATGGTGCTGTACGGCTCGCCCATTTCGGACAGAACCTTCTTGAACGAATGGAACTCCCGGTCGGCCGCGTACACATTGTGTTGGTACACCTGGGAAAGACGGCACCGACAGTCAACGACTTGCGAGACTGCCGCGTGTGGCTCATTAGGGCACACTTGTCACCTTCATAGCACCATCCATCCACCACCATCCATCCATCCATCCATCCACCATCACATCTGTATATATCCAGCTATGTCAGGCGCCTGCCATGCAGCAATATGCACACCAGACCGCGCCGAAGCCGACTGCAATGAGTCACGGCGTCGGTGGCAGAGATTCACACCGGTTTTCTCTTTCACCGCACAGCATACATACCAGCATGTCTGACCCGACCCGCCTCGACCCGACCGGTTTTCTTTTTCGCCGCACAGCATACATTACGAGCATATATGACCCGAACCCGACCCGACGACCCGACCCGACCCGACCCGACCCGACCTGATCCGATCCGATCTGAACCGGATGGACCAGACCAAATCTGACCAATCCAGGAAAGACTAGACTAGACCAGACCAGACCATACCAGACCATACCAGACTAGACCAGACCATACCATACCATACCATACCAGACCAGGCCGAACCGGACCCGAGCCCACCGCGCCACAGCCCACCTCGTCGGCCATGATGATGAGCCGTTCGTTGAAGGCGAAGCGGATGATGTCCTCGATGTTTTGACGGGTGAGCACGGAGCCGGTGGGGTTGCCCGGGTTGATGACCACCAGCAGGCGGGGCAGGCAGCTGGCGCGCGCCTCCTCCAGAGACCGCTTCAGCTCGTTCATGTCCAGCGCCCAGGCGCGCGGCTCGTCCAAGTAGTAGTTGATCTGAGCACAGGGAAGGTTGGGGGAGCGGAGGTGAGCATGGGAGGGTAAACTGGTCACACACAGAAGCATAGGGCTTCGCTAGTTCACAGACAATGTGGCGTGCACGTCACGTACCACATTGCATTGCATCGCACT